ATTTAATGTTTAACCTGCGGGAGGTTTATTGGCCCCTTCTGACGCTCAGATTAGGAGCAAACAGAAAAACAGCCGCGGGCGGAGCGAGGCGGCCCCGCCGCGCTGATAAGGGCTCGGTGCGGGGAGCGGAGGGTGCGGGCAGTGGGGACACGGGACACGGGGGTCAGGCAATGGGGACACGGGACACGGGGGTCAGGCAATGGGGACACGGGACACGGGGGTCAGGCAATGGGGACACGGGGAGCTGCGGGACACACACGGGGAGCTGCGGGACACACACGGGGAGCCGCGGGACACGGCGCACGGACAGGAGCGGAGCGCAGCCGGGGACGCCGCGGGGGTCGCTCCATGCGGGCGGCTCCGCACCGGCGGAAAAAGTCGCCTCTAATTCACGGAATCCCAGAACGGGTTGGATCGGAGGGGAACTTAAAGCTCATCTCGTTCCAACTCTATTAACGAGCTAAAAAAAACCCAAACCAACAACAACAAAAACAAACAAACAAACAAACAAAAAAGCAAAATAAAATTGCTATTGAAGGAAAAAAATTAAATCCAAGTTAAAAAAAACCAAACAAAAACAACCCAAATCAAAACAAAAAAAACGCTGTTTGGGTTTGTTTTGGTTTGGTTTTTTTTTCCCCAACGGGGACAAAGCTTTGCCTCCTTTCCCGAATCTTTCTCCGATTCCCTGCCTGGCAGCTCTCTCGGGCCGGGAGGAGCCGCTGCCAGCCGGCACCCCCAAACTCTTGTTTTCCCCCATTTTACGGCGACAAAACCCGTTCGCTCCCGTTCCTCCAGAGCTCCCCGCGGCTGCGGAGCCTTTTTCCCGTCGCCTGCGGCCACGCGCGGATCGAAAGCAGCGAAACCGTCCGCGATTTTCCGCCGCTCTCCCGGGCCAGAGCCGGGCCGGGATCTCCCGGAGCCGCCCCGGTGCCCTCGGTGGCCGCGGGCCAGGAGGAGCTGTCGTTGGGCCAAAGTCGTTTGAAAGAGACTGAAATTAAAACAAAACTCGTGAAAAAAAATTAAATATATATATATTTCCCGATGTTTTATTCAGCGCCATTTTGTCCCTTTTTCTAGCACGTCTGTGTATTAATTCGCGGTATTAATTAGTGACATTAATTATTGGTGTTGTCAAAGCTCTCGGGCATTTGCCTTGGCCCAGCCCCGCGATCGTGCTCGCAGTTTCGGGCTGGTTTTGGGGTTTGTGTTGAATAACGACGCTTCGTGTTACGGCGGAGACGTGCTCGGGGAAGGGATTCATAGGAGGAGAGGAAGAATTTAAAAAGAAAGGAAAAGAAAGAAAAAAAGAAGGGGGGAAAAAAGGAAAAAAAGGTAAACAGGCGGGAAGAAAAAAGAGAAAGAAAAAAAAAGAGAAAGAAAAAAAGAGAAAGAGAAAGAGAAAGAGAGAGAGAGAGAGAAAGAAAGAGAGAAAGAGAGAAAGAAAGAGAGAAAGAGAGAAAGAGAGAAAGAGAGAGAGAAAGAGAGAAAGAGAGAAAGAGAGAAAGAGAGAGAGAAAGAGAGAAAGAGAGAAAGAGAGAAAGAGAGAAAGAGAGAAAGAGAGAAAGAGAGAAAGAGAGAAAGAGAGAAAGAGAGAAAGAGAGAAAGAGAGAAAGAGAGAAAGAGAGAAAGAGAGAAAGAGAGAAAGAGAGAAAGAGAGAAAGAGAGAAAGAGAGAAAGAAAGAAAGAAAGAAAGAAAGAAAGAAAGAAAGAAAGAAAGAAAGAAAGAAAGAAAGAAAGAAAGAAAGAAAGAAAGAAAGAAAATCCAAACAAAACGAACAAAATCAAGTTAAAACGAAAAAAAAAATTAAAATGGAGAACGAAAAAACGGCGGTGGAGGGTCCAAGTATTAATGGAAAAATAAAACGAAAGGTTGGAGAGGGAAAAGGAGAAGCGAATGGAAAAGCAGGAGGAACTGTCCGGCTCCGAGGGCTGCCCAGGCCCCTCCGGGCCAGCCGCACCCACCCACGGGCGTGAATTCCACGCACAGCCGGGAAAAGCACGGGAGGAGAGGGATCCCCCGAGCGCCCCTTCGAGCCAGGGATGGAGACGGCGAGTGGGGAGCGCCGTGTCGCGAAAAGGACACAACGGTGCTGTCACCCTCCAGAGAAAGAATCGCCAGCGGATTTTCTGGTCCTGAGTGTCGGAACAAATCCGTGCTGGGGAGGGGGCTGGGACGGGAGCGCAGCCACAGCCACGCGAGGGTGGGGAGGGTGGGGATGGTGGGGAGGCGCCCACGCGGGGCTGGAAGCGCAGGAACGCCCCCACCTCCCACATCAGCCCTCGGGGAAGAAAGCGATGCTTTTTCCGCCCCCAGGGCACGAGGGGCCGGGGGTTAGCGGGTGGGGGTTAGACCCGTGCAGGGACTCCCAGAAGTGTCCCAGTGGGAGCTCTCCGTCACCCACGGGCCCCCGCGAGCCTCGTGGGGCGGTCACGAAGTTTGTGGAGATGAACGTGGAGCGGGCCCGGAGGTCGCAGAGATGAATGGCCCGAGGGGACGGGCTGGGCACCGCCAGCTGCTGCCCAGATGTTTCTCCGTGGGACCCCTCCTCTTTTGCGGAGCCCCTTGGGGCGAGCGGGGCCGGAGGGAGCTCGGGGAGGCCGGAGCTGCAGCCCCCTCATGTCCCAGCTGAATAATTAATGGTTCATCTGCGGAGGGGGCGGCGGGACGGGGGGAACTGGGGTGGAAAGAGGAGAAAAGCGGCGGGTGCCATTTCCAGGGGCCCGGCGTGGTCATCGATCCGCGGCTCAGTGACTCGGACTAATCCATCAGATGGACTCCGGCGGCCCCGGACCGGGACCAGGACTAGGATCAAAAATGCGAACAACTACAACAACAAAAAGAATAGGAATAAGAATAGGACCGGGATCAGAACCAGGACCAAGACCAGGAGCAGGACCAGAAACAGGAATAGAACCAGGAGCAGAAAGAGGAATAGGACCAGAAAGAGAAATAGGAATAGAACCAGGACAGAAACAGGAATAGGATCAGAACCAGGACCAGTCCTTGTCCCGGCCCCGTGTTGCCACACGTCGAACACTTTTTTTTTTCCCCCCACTTTTACCGGGAAGGAAAAATTCCGTTCGTTGCCCAGGTCCCTTCCCTGCTTGCCAGGGGGTGAAGGTTGCAATCATCCAGACCCCTCCAGCAGCCGGAAAAAATGAGCGGACTCATCCCGAGGCCTCGGGCTGGGCCGGGCTGGGGATTCACCTGCATCGATCGGGGGGCTCGGGCCCGGCTCCCCCCAGCGCGACCCCTTCCCCCGGCAGCCGGGCCGGGCTGAGCCTCGGGCTGGGGCGGAACCCAGGGCCGGGCCCGGGCGGGCGAGAGGGCGGCAGGACAGAAACGAAAGCGGGACCCAGCAGGGCTCGGGGCCGGAACAAAGCGGCAGGACCGGGAGGGGCAGCTCGGCCGAGCCCCTCCACGAACCGCGTGGGGCGGCCCGGGCCCGCGTGGGGAGCGAGCGGAACACGGGAGGATTCACGGCGGGAGGTTGGGCTGGTGGTTGGTGGTTTTTTCCTGTTTTCGTGGAGAGCAAAAGAACAAACCCCGTTCCCCGGAAATCTGGGGGGTTAATGCCTGTAAATAATGGGGACATGGCGGCCTTGGCGCCGAGGGAAACGGCGCCGGGGAAGAAAAATCATTTTGGGGAGAATAAACCCCCCAGGGCGGCGAAGGAGCAAAGAGGTGACAGCAGGGACAGGGAACCTCCGAGCCGCTTCGGGGACAGGCATCCCTGACTCGGACCGGGGACAGGGATCTCTCGAGGCGGGCAGAGAAGAAGCTTCGCCCTGAGCTTCCCCCAGCTGCCGCCGCCTTTTTATCATCACCATCACGGTTATTTTTAATTATTATTGCTATTATTATTTTTGAATTATTCATTATTATTTCCAGTTCTGGAGAGTCAGAAACCCAAGCCCGCTGCTCAATTAGCCCCAACAACGGGGGCATTAAACGGCCGATCGCGGCAGTGTTTAAATCTTTATTTACCAGAACCTTGTAAAGCCAGGAACAATTTGCATTCTATTAACTGCTTTTCAATAGGGCATCGACTGGAACTAAAAGATGCCACTACCCTGCCCTAATTAAAGAGCAACTGAATTACACTAAATACATATGAACGCTGCTCTTCCCCATAAATAACGGCGGGTCCTCGTCGCTGGCTTTTCCCGTCCCCACGGGGAGCTCGGATTTCTTAAAAAATAAATTAAAAATCACTAACGTGTGTTTTGTCCACCACGGCTCGGCCCCGCGGAGCCAAGAGCTCCGCTGGTTTCCGGGGGGAGCGGCTCATGCCGGGGCTGGCGGGGAGCACCGGTCCCCGCTCGCAGCTGTCCCCTCTGTCCCACCCTCCGGCCCCTTCCCCGGCGACCCCCGCCCGCCCTCGGCACGGAAACCCCGCATTTCTCCAGCAAAGCCTCGGCCCAGCGCCTGCCCGAGACCGCGGGGAACGGCGCTGCGGGACCTCAGCACAACTGGGAACCGGAGGCACGGGGCAGGCGGGGCTCGTTCCTTCCGCCGAGAGCAGCCGGTGCCCGGAGGGAGCGGAGCGCGGCCCCGGTGCCGCAGCCCCGGCCCGGAGATTCCCCTGAGCGCGGCCCCGGTACCGAGAGGCGGCGGCCGAACCGACCGCGGAGGAGTTCCACGATACTGCCGGCTCCACGGGGCCGGTTCGGCGGCACCGAGAGGGAAATCCCCGAGGCAGGCGGGCGGGCGGAGGAGAACCGGCATTCTCGGCTCCCTCCACCCGCGATCCCGCATCTTCCGCGGGCAGCAGCAGGCCCGGGGAGGCGGGAATTCGCCTTAGGTATAACTCACCTTAAATATAAATCCCTTCCCTTCGGTCTTACAAACCGGCTCGGTAACACCGCCCGAGCCCGGCCCCAGTTCGCGATGGCAACCCCGGAATCCCTGAGGGTTCCCACGCGTGTTGGCAGCACCCCCTGACCCACCCGCCCGGAGGTGCGGGGCGGGCGGCCCGAGCCGTGCCGTGTCCTACCTGCCAGTCTGAGCGCCGACATCCTCTGAAATTCCGGCTCCTGCAACCATTTCCACATCCTGCGGAAAGTCTCCCGGCCGGACTTGAGCTTACTCCAGGGCTTGGGGTTCCGCAGCAGGTCCGAGAGGGTCCCCTGGGAGCGGCACAAGATCCTCTGCGCGAAGATGGCCTGCGGGATGCTGTACCGCTTCAGCTCGGCCGTGATCCGCTGAGCCACCTCCTTGGTGTTGATTTCCTCCACCTGGCCGGAGCCGCCGGGCTGGGAGCCGGGGCCGGGCGCGGGGCGCTCCCGCTCGCCCAGCAGCGAGGCTCCGGGCTGGCCGTGCGGGTGGCCGTGCGGGTGCATCCCGTTGAGCGGCGGCATCATGGCCGAGCTGGGCGCCGCCAGCCCCCGCGCCAGGTGCTCCTCGCCCCGGGACAGCATCGCGGCGTGAGAGTCGAAGCCGTTGGGCGAGAGCATCTTCTCGTTGGGCAAGTGGCCGGCGGGGCCGTAGGGGGCCAGCGGCTGCTGGGCGTTGTGGAGGCTGCCCAGCCCGTTGGGCAGCGGCGATAGGGGCTGCCCCATGGCCGGCATGTCCTTGGGGTAGTGGCTGTAGAGGTTGCCCATGGAGGCCAAGCTCCGCTCGTCGCGCATGAGGGTGAAGCTACCGCTGACGTTGCCGGCCAGGCGCTGGTGCGGGTGGTGGTGGTGGTGGTGGTGGTGCGGGTGGTGGAACTTCTCCGAGACGGTGGAGATGGGCGGCAGGTGCTGCAGGGGAGTCAGCGTGGTGTAGGTGCTGCTCAGGCTCATGCCGGAGGGCGACTCGCAGGACATGCTCATGGCGGGGTGCAGCGGGGCTCCCAGGCTGTGCTCGCCGCGGTAGTCGCCCCCCTCCAGGATGGAGGCCATGCCCGAGACCATGGCGGGCCGGCCGTGCGGCACCAGGTTGCGGTGCGAGCTCTGCCGCCCGTGCGCGGGGCTCAGCAGCTCGGCGGGCTGCGAGTGCGGGACTCCGTGCAGGCTGCCCAGGTTCTCCATCGCCAGTTCCATGGTGGCCGCCGGGCTCTGCCGCTGCCTCGCCCGCTCGCTCGCTGCCTTCCTCCCCCACCCCCCCGCCGCCGCCGCCGCCGCCGCCTCCTCCTCCTCCTCCTCCACCGCCGCCCCCCCTCCCCGCTCCGGCTGCCCGGATTAATTCAGACTCCGCGCCCGGGGATCGATGTCCGCGCCCCGCGGTCAGGCCGGCATGGTGCGCCCGCCGCCCGCCCTGCTCGGCGCGGGGCTCGGGGCGCGGGGCTCGGGGCGCGGGGCTGTGCGCGGGGCGCGGGGCTCGGAGCTCGGTGCGGGGCGGCTGCGGAGCCTCGGCCGCCGGCTCCCGGCTCCCGGCAGCCTCGCTCTGGCCCGCGGCGTGACGTCAGCGCCGCCCCGCCCCGCCCTCCCCGCCGGACCGAGCCGCCCCCCCGCGCCTCTCCCGGTACCGCCGGGCGCGGGGAGCGCGGGGCCGCGCCCTCGGCCGGACCCCGGCAGGGGTCACCTTCCCCCCGCCCCGGGGTCACCCTCCCCGTACCGGGGGTCGCGCCCTCCCCGCCGCAGCCGGTACCCAGCGCGCGTCCGGCGGCGCTGCAGGTGGCGAGTGCCCACCTGCGCCCCCGCACATCTGGCCCACCCCAGGCCACTCCCTGTGCACACATCTGGCTGTGCCAGCCGCCCCTGGATGTGCCTGTCCCCAGCGTCCCCAGCACCCCGCTGCCTGCCCCGTTCTCCACCCCGTGGCCCTCCCAAGGGCCTGGTTGTCCCTGTCTGCCCCAAAAAACGCGGTCCCCGCAGCGCTGCCTTTCCCCACTCGTGTCCCTCCCATCACCAGCTCTCCCCTGCCCCGGGAATGGGGAGCCTTGGCACGGGGAGAGGAGGTGACAGGGACACGCCTGGGGCGACACACGGTGCTGCAGGGCCCTGAGCAACAGGGGAAGGAAGGAGGGGAAGGAAGGAAGGAGGGGAAGGAGGGGAAGGAAGGGTGGAAGGGTGGAAGGAAGGGTGGAAGGAAGGGTGGAAGGAAGGGTGGAAGGAAGGGTGGAAGGAAGGAAGGAAGGGTGGAAGGAAGGGTGGAAGGAAGGGTGGAAGGAAGGGTGGAAGGAAGGAAGGAAGG